ACAGGCTGGAGAGGGGACGTCCACCCAAAGCCACAGCCTAGCAGCCCAGCTCATGTGGGGACTGCTTCTGCCCCCTCGGGGCCACCAGGTGGCAGTGTGGGCCCATGGGACCTGGGCTCACCTGGGGGGGGGTGGAGGCGGGGAGGAGAGCTGGCTCAATGTGGGCGGGGGATGGGCCGGCCTGAGCAAATAAGTTGGTGGTGGGGGGTGGTCACTGTGGTGTGGAGGGCGGGGTGGGGTGGGGGTGGGGCAGGGACGGCCCGGGGGCATGGAGATGGGGTGCTCAGGTGCTGACCAGCTCTTCCTGTTAAGGGGGAACGTGGGGTAAGAGCCGCGCCTGGGCCTGCTCTGCCTGCGAGGGTGCAGAGGACCACGGACCTGCCCAGTGGTCACGGATCCCTGTCTAGTAGCTCATCGTCCACCCGGAGCCCTGGTCCCTGGCCAGAGGCCTGCCAAGGCCCGCAGGTTCCCGGGACAGCCCCAACCCAGGTTTCCTTTTTGGTGGTGGGGACCTTAAAATCTCTTGATTTTACAATGTTGACAATAGTGGTTAGTGGAAAAATGCCCCCCCCCCCACATCCCCCAGAGATGGTGGGTCCTCATCCCTAGAACCTGTGAGTGTGGCCTTATTTGTGGATGTGATCAAGTTAAAAGATCTCGAGATGAGACCACTAGTCTTACCTGGGTGTGCCCTTAATCTAGTGACAAGTGTCCTTATGAGAGGGAGGCCAGGGGAGATCAGAGAAGCCACATGAAGACAGGCAGAGACGGGTGATGTGGTCACAAGCCCAGGCCTGGAGCCCCCAGAGGGAGCCCGGCCCTGCCCACACCTGGACCTCAGCCCAGCCTCGGACGTCTGGCCTCCAGATCTGGGAGAGAATAAGTCAGCCCCCCAGTGTGGGCCTTGGTTACCACACAGCGGCCCCAGGACACTCCCACAGCACCTAGTTCAGTGTTGTGCAGACCAAACCCTGGCTGAGCCCGGCCTGCCTGGGTCTCTGGCGCTGACCCTCTAAAGGGCAGCTCGGGTCACGCCCACCGTGGGAGCCCCTCTGCCCGCCCACATTTCCATCATGTGGCTTCCTCTCTGACATGGCCCCTCCCTCAGTGACCTTGGCTGAGGAGCAGGGCTTCGCGTGACGGCGTGGGTGGGGGCGTGCACACTGAGAAGGCGTGCCACTCTCCTGCCTGGCCCTCCCAGCAGGCCCAGCTGACCTGTGCCCGACAACTGCTCCTGACCACTGGCCTCAGTTCCCATGGTAACCAACCCAGAAATGGACAAGGAAGGAAAAGGCAGGGGGCAGGAAGCGTAGGCCGCTCCTGGCTCCAGGTGCAGTGAGCTAACCCTCCCTGCCAGTTCACTCGGGCAGCATGCTTCTGGAGGTTTCTCTGACTCCCTGCATCACCCTGAGTCCCTTCATGGGGACAGAGCCTCCTGCTCTTCTGAGACGCCTCCTCCCTCCGGGTGACCAGTGGTCAGGAGCCTGGCCAGGCCCTGTGGATGCTGGGAACACAACGGGGACAGCCAGGGAGGTCGCTGCCCTGCCAAGAGGTGGAAACAGACCAGAGGATACGCTCAACTTAAAGCATGTAAATACCAGGTTGCTTTAAGGAATCAAAGACAGCAGTGGGAGACGGTGAGTTCCACAGGAGGGCCCTGGGCAGGAAGGCTTGTCCCTCAGAGGCTCAGCACCTTGCCACGGGCGGCCACCCAGATGGAGTCCTGGGTGAGGCTGCAGGGCCGCCCGCCTGGGCGCCTCCCGGCGGAGAAGGGCCAGAAGAAGCCAGGTCCTTGTGGCCGGAGCTCACGCCTCTCTGTCCCCATGCTCTTCTTTGAGGTAAATTTCCAAGCGGACAATTTATTCTTAAACAGGCAGAAGTCCCTGTGGGCATTTTCTGAAGCCGTAACGGAGCAGGGCCGACTGGAGGGTCAGCACCGCGGACAGCGCCCCACAGCCCACGCTGAGCCGATGGCGAGCCTGGGGGGTGGTGGGCATTGGGGGGCGTGTGATGGGGCACATGGGTTGGGGGAAGGGCAGAGGGAGAAGCTGGCCTGAAGTCTGCCCGTGTGTGTGACCCCCGCCACCTGGCCACACCTCACCCCTCCTTGCTGCAGCTTCAACCTCGAGGACCTTCCTTTGCTGAGGCCTAATGCTGTCCAGATGACTCAATGCTTATGAAGCCACCAGTCCCCAAAGTGCCCCCTTATTCTGATACAACCCCCGAGGGCTGAGTCAGGATGAGGGTACTGCCACCCAGGCCTCCAGAAGCCTGCTGGCTGGGCAGCAGGTGCGGTGGGGAGCGTGTGTGGGCGTTTTTCAGGCATTGCCCTCTCTGGAAGCCTCTGAGCCTGGGTCCTGCTTACGGAGAGGGCTGGTAGGACCAGTCACCCTGTCCCCCACGCATGGACCCAGGGACCAACTGAGGCCCCTTCCCTCCCACGAGGCTACTTAAAGCCGCAGACTGGGGGGCAGTCAACAGAGACCACCATTTGTGCCCTGCACTGCCCCCAGGTCCGAGTACCGCAGGGCTGTGCACAGAGATGTCCAGCCCTGGGCTTTGTGGGGCCAGGGCCAGGTTAGCAGGCCAGCATTCCCGCCTGAGGCAGGCGCTGGAGCCCTGGTCTCCACCTGGGCCCCCTCAGGACTGTGGTGAGCGCCCAGCGAGTCGTAGGTGTGAGCATGTCTTGCAGTCTCACCAGGAGACACTGCGTCCAGGTGTCCAGGCGCCCACCTGCGGGCAGATTCCCAAGAGCTGAGTACCCCCCAAGCCCCGCCAATAGCATCTCTGCTCATGGACATTTTCCACACCCAGGCCCTGGCCTGGCTGTGGGCTGTCGGGTGGGGCAGCAACCTGGTGGGCAGCTTGGGGGAGGGGTGTGTGCACCTGGGAGAGAAGGACACCCAGGGTCCGAGATGAGATGAGCCCCGGGGTGGGGACAGCTGCCAGGGCCGAGCACTCCCGCTCTCCTGACGCAGTGCTCGCTCCGTGCTGATGGGTTAGAATCAGGCTCAGAGTAGAAGTTTGCTTCTCTCTTAAGTAAAAGCAGCTCCTAAGTGGGCCTTCAGGACCGAGGCAATGGTGCCCATCCACCAGCAGAGCCACCAACATTGTCATTGGGAGGGGGGCAGTCACTGTGGCACCTTCACCTGAACCATGAGCGCCTCCCCTGTTCTCCCCGGTCACACCCTCCTGAAATGCCCATGCCTGACGGTGCCAGTCCCCACCCGGCCTCGCCCTGAGCTCCAGACCGCTCTGCTGCTGTCCCAGGGGATGCACACATGGGCGTAGCCAGCAACGTGGCCAGAGCCCAGTGCAGGGCCTCCCCACCCTGGGGCCTCCTGAGCCCAGCCCACGCCCACCTCCGCAGGTGTAGTCAGTTGCAGCCTGCTCTCCTCTGGGCTCACCCCTGTTTCTACTCAGCATCCCAAGGGCCTGGGCCGCCCTCACCACACAACTGCCTCATTTTCCCTCTGCCCCACTCTCCTGCCCGCCCTCCGGTCTTGGCTCTTTCTAGTCTAACCGAGCAGCTCTCCTTTGTCGGGGCTGCTGCCCTCCCGCAGGTCCCTGACTTCCTGCTGGGAGACGGGTGTTGAACTGTGGCTGGAGGCAGCCCTTGTGGCCCTGGCATGTGAAGGGCTGATTTGCGTCACTGCATTGGGGGTGGGGGTGCAGGGGGGCCTCATGCATCTGGGCAGCGCCTGTGCCCCAGCACGCCTGTCCCAGAGTCCCCCCAGCCAGGTGGGCCAGGCTTCCTTGGCCGGCAGCGGGGCTGTCACACCGGGGGGAGCAGCTGGGCCCAGGGGCTCTGCCAGCACACACGTGTGAACTGACTGCTCTGAATTCCCCCTCCCCCTGCTGGGCCTGCCTCTCACTTAGAGGGGAGCAGCGGAGACCTCTGTCCAGTGAAATGACCTAAGAGAAGGCCCCTGGGGGTCAGGGAAGGGGCTTCCCGAGGGACTTTGGTTATTTTGGCTAGGCCCCTGCCCCTGGGACAACCAGCCCTCTGCTGTGGAATTGGGGTGTCTTTAAGCAGATCCTCCCTCCCAGGGCCTGGTCCTGGGGCCCCATTACAAGGAATGTTTGCCCCCACCGCTGGACTGCCTGTCACAGGCCCACAGCGGTTGCCTAATTGTGAAAGTAATTAGCTGCTCGGCACCCTCAAAATTAGCAAGTGGCTAATTGTGCCTGTAATTATCAGCTGCACCCTTAATGAGTGCTGTGAGTGACTTTTTGTGATGCAAGTCATTGTGGATGCAAATGTGTGCCCAAGTAAAGGGGGGGCCGCGGTGGGGGGGCAGTCATGGAAGCAGCTCTGGGTCTGGCTGTGCACTTACTTGTGGGGTGACTGGGTGGCCACTCAGCCTTTCTGAACTTGGTTTCCCAGCAGAGCAGCCCCTTCGCTCAGGTGTGGGGCTTTACGACCAGGAAGGTGTGAGGTCAAGTGCAGCTGGGCCACATGACCAGGCTGGGCCAATCAGGGCGCTTCGGAGGATGGTGGGGCGGGCCTGCTCGTCTTTGGGTTCTCAGCTTGGGGGGCTGTGACTTGGCGGGGGTGTGTTCCCACCAGGTGGAAGAGCCCCTGTAGGGGGACGAGGCAAGGGCATGGAGCGGGGGCAGGCGTGAGAGTTCTGTGAACCAGGCCTCCTGCATCTTAGGGAGGCCTACCCGTCAGGTGGGAGGGGAACACACCTGGGTTAACAGTTCGTTAGCGTGAGTGGGAACTTCTGAGCAGGTTGCGATTCTGGGCACACGGCCTGCGAGCCCTTCTTTGCACGCTTTCCCTGGGCCTCACAGTGTGAGGCCTGGGCCGGGCTTTCTCCATGTCTGTGCCCCCCAGAGCCCAGACTAGCGCCTGGGGCATAGCAGGTGCCGGAGAACCGCGTGCTGGGCGGACGGGTCCCCCGTTGACACCCTCTCCCCACGTTCACCCACCCGCTGTCCTGAGCACCACCAGCTTCCCGAATATGTGGGGACACACAAGCCAGGCGGAGGCCGACTCTTTAAAAGGGGGACTTTATTCGCTCCTCTGAGCAGTGCTCGCCTCGGATCCAGTACACACAGCTCCGCAAAGCTGCTCTCAGCGTGGAGCCAAGAGCGCCCGGCACGACAAACACATTGAAAACGTCGATGCGCTTCCCTTTTTTATCCTTTTTTTTTTTTTTTTGGTACAAAATGATACAAACAACAATACAAAATAGTTGTGCTGTTGACGATTACAAAAAAAGTCGGAACATTTGTCTAACTGCGTGATGCTCAGTGATGCAGTGTTAACACATCATACTCCGGTATCTTTCCCCGAAACAACCACAGTCATGCGGGCTGCTGCACGTTTTGTCCATTATCAAAAAGAAACATGCAAAAAAAAAAAAAAGAATGGAAAAAGGAGAGAAAGGAAAAGCAAGAAGACGCTCCAATTATACAGAAAGGCGGCTCCTCGCTGGGCCCGCTGCTCTGAGCCGTCCCCTATGTACACCGCGCTGCTGCAAGCTACGTGACACTCGGTACAGATTTTATTGTTTTTTGTGTTTGTTTTTTTTTTTTTGGTGTTACTCCTTTTAACATTGACAACAATTGAGACTCCTCTCCCCCAGCTTTTTACCTTGGCGAGAACAGAACTGTCATCTCAAGGGACCGTGTGGCAGCTGGTGCTCACCCTGGGGAAACTGAGGCATCTCTGGGCCTGGTGAGTGGACGTTACCCTGACACTTGGGTGGTGGGAGGCCTCGCACTTTGCATGTGCTGAGGGACCCGAGGAAGAGAAGGCCTGCTTGGCCAGGCCTGGGGTGCTGAGATCCCGACAGACACGGTGGCATCAGCTGGGGGTGCCACCGACCCGGCCAGGGTGTCCCGACTAGACCTGACCCCACAGGACTCTCGTGGTCACAGAAAACCCCTAAAGGAACTGACACACACCCTAGCACGTTGCCGTTACCGAGTCCCACCTCCAGCAGCTGGTCACAGATAATCCTATCTACAGGCTAATAAGAGAGACGTTTGGCACTGACTGTACGTTTAGCTCATGCTAACTTGTTGGCCTTGGAACTGAGTTCCGGGGTGGATCTGGGGGTGTGTGGGAACCCCGTTTTTCTCTGGCCCCCAGGGGCTTCCTGGGGTGGGAGTGAGAGGGGGCAGCTGTCCAGCTGTTGGGAAGTACGGATGGGCATGAGAAGACCCCCAGCGATGTCCCTCGAGCTGGCTGCTGCAGCCTCAGCCTGCACTATTTAGGCAAAATGCACCGGGGACCTGGCAGTGACGAGAGGCAAGGGGAGAGGGGTGAGGGGAGAGGAGCCAGAGGGAGGCACGTGACATGGACACCCGCGTCCTCCCCAGTGGCGCGAGGCGGAGGGGCAGTGAAGGGGTCACCAAGGGGTCATCCGGCTGCGTCCTGCCGGGCCGGGCTGGGCACAGCCATCCCTGAGGTGAGCCCCAGGCCCGGGGGGCCCAAGGAGGCCTCGGGATTTCAGAGAGAAGAGGACACAGCTGCCTCACTCCTGAGCCGTAGTCACACAGCTTTGGCTGGGGGATGGGCTTTGCCCAAACAGAACATCCCAGCTCACCTCCCACCAGCCGTGACCCCCCAGCAAGCCCTAGAACAGCCTCTGCCCCGACACTGGGACAAGCCGCCTCTGTCTGACCCCCACAATTTGCATAGCACGGCTTAGGACTGGGGGTCCTGGTCCCCTCCCCTTGTCAGGTGAGCCCCTGATGTGTGTGAGATAGCTGTCCGCCTGGGGGGGGGGACATCCAGCTTGTGACACGACCACCTCCTCCTCTGTCCACAGCCCCTCCCTGGGCAGCCATGGATGGGGGCCGAATGGACAGAGCCCGCCTCGGGCCACGCCGCAGCACGGAGCCCCAGCTCCGCCCCGGGAAAGAGCACAACGTGGGTGACGCATTTGGTTTGGGGAAGAACCCTGACGTCCAACGGGGACACACCCACGCGCATAGCACACACGCCTGCAGTCAAGTTCATATTTGAGGCCAAAGCTGCTTAGAAAAGAGGATGACGACAGCAACGGGGACGGGCCATAGGCTGAGGTGTGGCTCAAGGACCCCCAGACAGAGAACGGGGGTGAACGCAGCAGCCTCACCCCACCTCCCCAGGCTCCTCCCTAAACCCAGGATCTGCTGGGGGTAGGGTTCCAGGCCAGGTGAGGCTGGCCAGCCTCTTCCGTCAGCGCTGGGGCTCCCTTCCCCCAGGGGGGGCTCTGATGCCAAGTCCTGCCAGGCCAGTGGCACCATTCACCGTTCCTCGGGGAGCCAGAGAGTGGGCCAGGCGCAAGGATCCCCCTGTGAGGGCGCCTGCCTCCCGCTGGCCTGCGGTGCCGCCACACCCAGGGAGGCTCCCCACGGGGTCCCTGGGACACAGCCCCTTCCACCATCCTGTGGAACGGACTCCCCGGCCTCTGGCTTGAGAGTCAGGCTGCCCATAGAAAGGGCAGTTACAGCTCTGAGCGTCTGAATAAGCTGCTTGGTGCTGACGTGGGTCCACAGGAGAGGAGATGGACTGCTGTCTCCAGCCGGTGCGTCCAGAAGCATCTGTGGGGCTGATGGACAGCAAGGACGGTCTCTCCGGCCACTTGCAGCAGATTGCTGCTGTCCAAATTGGTTCACATCGGAAAACTGGTCCAGCAGGGTGGGGCAGGGAGAGAGGCTGCCGAGGCCCCGGGAACAGGAGGAGCCTGCACTGCAGCCTGGACAGCTCCTGGGACAGCAGCCGGCGGCGCTGGGGGCGGTCGGGCCTGGGTGGTGCCTGTTCGCTGTGCCTTTGACAGGGTCCGGTCTGGAGGGGTGGAGGGCTCAGGCCAGGGTTTCGAGGGATGCTCGCTGGTTTGGGCTGTGGCTTCTTGGACCAAAGGCAGTGGGGACCTGGGTGGTGTTCGGGGTGACAGTTGGGCCTGCAGGGAGACCTAATGGTTGACTGGGGGGACCTGGGGGACAGCCAAGGTCAGAGATGGAAGCATCAGGGACAGCCCCTAGGAACCCCACCTGCCCCAGCTATTTACAGCATCTGGGAGTCGGGGTGGCCAAAACTAAGGGAAAACCACCCCCCCACGGCGGTGCCTTTGGTCATGGGCTTGGCCAGCTCCAGGGGACACCCTGCTGCCGGAGTCAAGGCTGGGCCTCCCCGCTTCCCGCCGGCCTCGGGGACCCCCAAGGGGCCCAGGAGACTTCCCCACTGCGTATAGCACAGCACAGGAACACGGAGGGCTGTTGCAATTTGGACCCCAAACTATTTTTTTCTTTGTAAGTTTTGTCAAGCGAATCACCCAGTTTTTTTCTTAATAAAAGACAAAAAAAAAAAAGATTCTCCCCGATTCCTTAATTGGTGCCTTCAGAGCTGGGACGAGCTGGGGTCAGGGTGCTCAGGACTTGGGGGGGCCTTGGTCTGTCTGCTTCAGTCACTCCTGAGTTTGAGGGAAACTGATACATGTACCAAAAGGCACTTTCATATATATATATATGTGTGTATATATATATATTTTAAAAACAGTGCTTCTGTTCTAAGAAATTCAAGTTAAGACAGAGTGCCTCTCGCTCTCCTTTAGTGATGAGTCAGCTACCGTGATGGGCGGCGGGGTGCGCCAGGGGGCGAGACGTGTTCATGCCAGACAGCTCAGTGTTGGGGGGCTGGGGCGGGGAAGGACCCCGAGCACACCACTAAGTGACACGTCCGCAGGGGGTCGGGAAGGCCCGCAGCCCCTGCTGTCCTGCTCTTCCGGCATCTTCTGAGTGCTGGTCCCACTGTGGTCGGGGATGTGCGGCTGGCTAGTCCTCGCCGCCCCCGTACATGTCCGCCAGCTTCTTGAACCGGGGTCCCCAGTCGTTCAGGTAGTCATAGTCTTGGTCCCCCGAGCTGGACGAGTTCAGCGAGCTGACGGAGCCCGCCGTGGAGCCGCTGCCTTCGTAGTCGAAGACCAGCAGGGAGTCGTAGGGGGGCGCTGTGGGGTCGTTGTCGGCTGCTCGAAGTCCCTGGGGGTCAGGACATGGGTTAGGGTGCAGGGTGTGGGACCTCAGCCCTGGGGGTCGGATGTAACAGGAATGGGGAGTGTGTGGGGAGTTGGGAGGCAGGTCAGGAAGGCAGTTACAGGGCTTTGCATCTGTAGGTGCTCACTTAATGCCCTGCATTTAACCAAAGGGCATCTCAGAGAGCCGAGCAGGGACTGGTGTTTATGAAAAGGGGCTGTGGCAGAGTGCTGGAGGTCGCGGCCACAGGCGGGGCAGGGGGGCTGGGCAGGGCCACCTCTGCAGACGGTTCTCGACTCCATGGCCACTGCCACAGGGGGTGAACCTGTGGCGGCCAGACGTCAGGATTCTGACGGTGTCATGTTAAGTATCCCCGTGCACAAAATTCGGCTGGGTGGCAGGTGTGGTGGCGCCCGCCCAGGTGCCCAGCCCTCTCCTGAGTGAGGTCCCGAAGCATCCAGCACTGCTCCACGTGGCCGGCGGTGCCCCTGGGAGCTGCCCCACCAGTGACGGGGGCTCTGAGGCACGGAGTCTGCGCTGGCCCTGGGAGGTCCCCGCGGGGTGGCCCAGGTGTGCAGGGTGGTGGCTGGCTGGCCCACCTCACTGCCCAGCTCTTAATGATCATTCAGTATTGAACTGTTCGTAGTGCCCGTTTTTACCTTCCTCCCAGAGTTATTTAAAAGCGGGCTTTTAATGGCAGATTGGGGAGGATGTGCTTCTTGGGCTTTTAAACTTCTACTGCATCGGAGACGGTAAACATTGCCTAAGCTGAACAGCTTTTGGGCAGCTGTGGAAGCTTCGTGTGCTCTGTTTTGGGGAATGTTCTGAGACGCCCCTTTCATCTCTGCAGAACCCCGCCCTGGCTCTGTTGTTCCAATATGTTCTTTTAGAGTTAGATTCCCGTGTAGGTGGAGACGCAAGTGTGGCCGGTCCCTCTCAGAAACTCAGGCAGGATGAGAAAGCACATGGGGCAGGGTCAGTCCCCTCACAGGACAGGGCGGGGTGCTGAGGGGGCTCAGCCCAAGGCCTGGCAGAGGCCCCGTCTGAATCTGCCCACCACCCCTGGGGCCCAGCAGTGGGAGCGACTGTTGTTTGTGCGTGTTGACAAGATTCTGTTTCTAGGGGAGGCCCTGCTTGGGCCCTCCCCGCTGCCTGAGCACTCACCTCATTGATGAAGTCACCGATGTCCCCCGGGTGGGGCACCACAGGCCTGGCCGGGTACTGGGGCTCGGCACCCACAGGCCGCTCATCCACCCGCCGCACGCCAGCTGCCTTACTCAGGACGTGCTCCATGGCCTCCGGCTGCTGCAGCTGGCTGAGGTCGTAGTCCTGGGCGGGGAGGGTTGGGGGACAAGGTAGGGGGGCAGGCCGAGGGGTGAGGGGGGAGGCACAGGTGAGGACAACAGGCAGCGCACCGGAAAAATCCAGTCCTGTTTCGTCACCCGGTCTGCCCTTCCCTCAGTGCCCACTTCCTTCCTGTTGGTCCGAATCCTGCCCGTTCTAAAGGCACGTGTGGGGTCTGCGCCCCTGGGCTGCCTTCCCCGGCCTGACGGCTCACTGCCCACACTGCTCATCCTTTCCTCGGAACAACCCTGAGCTGCGGCTGCTGTCACCCAGTTTTAGGGGGGCGCTAAGCTTTAGTGAGGTGAGGACTTGCCCTGAGTCGCCTAATGGTCAACGGTGGGCCCAGCATCCAACCAGGCAGCACCCGCCCAGGGGCACTGCCTCCAGGTCACCTGACAGCCCCTTGCATGTGGGCTGGACCCCACCCCCAGGGCGCAGGCCAGCAGTGGGCCCGGCCCTTGGCCAAGGAGGGGGGGTCCCTGTGGGGAGGAAGCTGCTGCAGGAGCCTGGGGACACGGGCAGGGAGACCTGGTGGGGACGGGCACCCAGGGGCTGTCTCTGCCTTCCTCACCGGACGTGGGCCACGGGCTGCCTTCGCGCCGTGACAAGGACCAGACCGGGCGCCCCCGGGGTGTGCTCTCACCTGGTCCTCCTCACCGCCGCCCTCCTCGTCGTATTTGAGGATGTTGTCACGCACGTCGTCCTCGGGGTCGATAAGCAGCTGCTTCGTGTGACGCTCCTTCTCCCGCCGTTTCATCCACATGACGAACAGCAGGACCATGGCTGCGGGCAGGGGCCGCGCCATGAGCAGGCTGCATGTGTCTGTGGGCACGTGGCGCATGTGTGTGCACGAGCAGGTGACTGGGTGCGCCACGCACCTGTGTGAGAGCGTGTGTACGCATGTGTGTGCGTCATGCACGCCTGTGCACGGCCATGTGTGTACACACGTGTCGTACTGTGTGTGGCCTGTGCACACTTGTGCGCGTGGACAGCTCATCTGCGTGTGCCGCAATGGTGCATGTGTGGCCCTGCGGGCCTGTGCGCGTTACCTACAGACCAGTTCAGCTGGGTTTTGGACAGGTCCCCAATGGGACCGTGAGCCACGGGGCAGGCTGGGCACCACCTCCTCCCGACCCCCCAGAGGGAGGGCTCGCACAGAGACGCCTTGGGCACCTCCGTACTCACTCAGCAGGATGACAATGCAGATGAGAATGGCCACGATGGCCCCAGTGCCCAGGCCGGCAGCCGCCACGGCGCCAACGGTGGTGCAGTCGCCGTTCTCATCACAGGGGCACACCTTGACTTTGATGATGGATGTATTGGACAGGGGGGGGTTCCCAGAGTCTGTGACGATGACGGGGACATCGTACATCCCGGCCTCCAGGTACAGAATGCGCAGGCTGAGCTGGGCGTAGTCACCTGGCACAAAGTGACAGTGAATGGCCAGCCGCCCTTCCCATGCAAGGCTTCTGCAGGAAAGAGCTAAATCTGATAGCACAGAAATCTAGTGTCTGGTTAACACACACACAGACACACACACCCGCTCACGCAGGTACACTCATGCACAAGCATACACACACACACACACACACACACTGCTTCTTACCATAAAGTTAAAAGACACTGGCAATTCACGAGAAGAGCAACTGTAACATGTAGGATGAATCAATTATTTCCTTAACGTACAAAGAGTTTTACCAAATCAATTAGAAAAGAAAATCTTCCTAAGGAAAAATAGGCAAAGGCATGGAACACACGATTCACAGAAGAAACACAAAATGGGCAGTAAGTATAGAAGAGAATGCCCACTGGTGGTCAAGAGATGCAAGTGGAAACAATGATTTTGGCTGAGACATGGGAACAGTGCTTTTGGAAACAGTCACATCCAGTGCTGGCGAGGGCTTGGGGAGCGGCAGGCTCCTGTACTTCAGTGACACTGGAAATTGGTGGAACCTTTCTAGATGCATCCTCACAGCGCCAGCAAAACTTCAGAACTTGGGTGCCCTTTTATACAAGCCCACGTCTAGGAAATGTATGGGTTGGCCGGTGCCCTCAAGGGTGTCTGCAGCCGCTCGCTACAATAGCAAGACGCTGGGGTTGCCGTAATGGCCTCCTCAGGGGGTGGCCTGGGCGGGGCTGGGCACTGGAGCACGCCAGCATCCCCAGCCTCGCGGGGCTCGGGCAGGGACAGGGCTGCACAGCCCTCTTGTGGGACTGGCCCCCATCTCCGCTGTCCGCTCTTCTAGGGCAGCGGGCCCCTGGGGGTGGTGCCGGACCCCAGACAGTCCTATCCTCCTGGTGCCTGGGGCGGGCTCACCGTTTAAGCGGGCAATGGTCCAGTTCCTGCGCACAGTAGCTGGGACGAAGGGCAGCTCGAAGACGTAGGGGCCGACGTTGGGGTCCATGTCGGCGTCGGCTGCGGTGATGTTGATGGCGTTCAGGCTGGGCTTCTCGCACACCTGCGCCTCCTTGGGCAGCAGCTCAGGGGCGTTGTCATTGATGTCGATGAGATAGATCTGCAGGGTGCCGGTGCCACTGGCTGGGGGGATCCCTGCAGGACAGACACAGGTGACCCATAGGGTCACTCCTGATACTCCACAACCACAGCCCCTCCTTCCCCTGAACCCCGGGACAGCCCTGGAACCGCAACCACAGCCCTGAGCCTGCGCAGACACACGCAAGCACTCAACTGCACACGACCCACAGCTGTGTGTGTGCACACGGCACCCACGCAGTCACCATGTGAAGCTGCAGGAGCGGGCGCCCTGAGCTCAGAGCCACACTCGGGACCCTGCGCCCCTCTGGGAGCCCGGGGAGGCTCATGGGGCAAAGCCTGTCCCTGTCCTCAGCGTTGTCCTGGCCCCACCCAGCAGGCTCCAGGGGCCACATGCCCTGTGCTCAGATGCTTATAACCCAAATGGAGAACTTTAGGAGCTGTCTGTCTGCGAGGAAGACAGAAGGAGGCTCTGAGGGTGAGTTTGGGATTGAGGGCCTTCTGCCCCAGCAGACAGGTGCTCGGCTGAGCCCCAAAGCTCCTAAGGAACCGTCTCCATCCCCCAAGATCCCCACACCCAAGCCAGGCTGGAGCGGTCGACATGTGCTGGCGGCCAGGCCTGGAGGGGCGGTGACAGCCATATTCTGACAGCGGCTCTGCCGTCTAATGGCGGCTCCTGACCCCCACACTCACAGCCTCATGTTTTGGCTGAGGCAGGCGGAGCGTGAGAGTATATCCTACGGCATGTCTCTAATCTTCCAGAAAACATCCCCAAACACATGTAAGGACATGCGACTTGGTGCTGCCTGTGGGAGCTGCTTCGATAAGCAGATGATGGCAGTACACAATGAGCAGCAGACTCTATTAACCCCGTGGGACCTGTATCCCACGTGGGGTGTCTTCCACGGGCCCCGCGCTCCAGCCACGGATTCACTTCAAGTCACTTTCTAATCTAATCTCGGTGCTTGAGCTGCTGGAGGAGAGGATATTGAGGACAGACACGTCATCACGGGCTCTCTGCGGGGACCTCGTGGACCCTGAGGGTCAAGGAGGCAGGAAGGAGACTGGAGCGAGGCCCCGTTCCCAGTGTCCTTGGCAAGGGCAGCTTGGCCAAGGCTGCCTCAGTTTACGGGTGGGGACGTTAAGGCCGTGCAGGTCACACAGGACAGCGCTGGGGCCAACCTCGGCCTGAATCCTGCCGTCCTGGGCCCCCCTGCCGCCCACGAGTGAGTGGCCATGTGAATGACCAGATGGGTATGAGAAAGCGAGGGAGGCAGGCAGAATGACTGATGCTTTGAACGAATGCAGGGAGGGTGACTGTGGGGGGCACTGAAGGACCACGAGGCCCAGCTCCGGCTCAGCACAGGGCACCTGGCACCGTGCCGCCCCATCCCACCCTGCCCTCTGGGTGCTGGCCAGCCTCCCTCAGCCTCCCTGCCACAGAGTCCACGGTGGGGTGACCACTGAGTCACCGAGACCAGGACGTACCATTGTCAGCTGCCAGGAACGTGGCCTCATACACATTGTTTTTGACATAGAGGGACTCGCGGTCGAGGATGGCCGCCGTGGTGACCTGACCGTTGGTGGCATTGACGTGCAGCCAGTTTGCCGGGTCCGACAGCTTTGAGTATCTGCGGGGGGGGGAGAAGGCGGGAGGTGAGGTGAGGGGTTGGGGGAGGGCGGAGCTGCCCGGAGCCCCCAGCCCCCCCGGGCCACATTCCAGGGCGCATCCCTCCTGGGGCACCAGCCTGGACGCCGAGTCCAGCAGAGGGCTTTCCCTCCAGCTCTGTGTGTGTCTTCCCACAGTGGGATGGTGACAACAGTGGCTCATAGTCACCAAGGTGCATGGGCCATGTGTCCTCACAAGGACCCCAGGGGGCAGATGCTCTCATCGTCCCCATTTACAGATGGGGAAACTGAGGAACAGAGAGGCAAGTGACCTGCAGTCATATAGCGAGTGGAGTGAGGCCTGGAGCAGGACCAAGCCCAACTCCAGACCTCGCGGCGTCTTTGACTTTCCCACTTGCTCGTGTGCAAATCAGGATGCCTAAGCTTGCTGAGCGCCTGTGGCATCGAGACCTCTGCCTGTGTCAGGCAGGCGGGGCTACCCCAGCTGGCCCAGAACTGGGTCCGGTGGTTCCCGCCTGGAAAGACACCACAGGTCGAGGCCACCCTGAGCCTCCGCTGGGGACTTTCTGGTTTCAGGTTTCCTCTTTATGCATGGAAAGTGGGGGGCCCGTGTGCGGGAAGCCCACCTCACGGACTGCTGCATGAAGCGATCGGGGTCCACTGCTGAAAATGTGGTCAGTACGGTGCCAGTGGGCACGCCCTCCTCCAGGCGGATCAGCTTGTGGTTCGAGGGGAAGTAGGGGGCTTCATTGACGTCCATGACCGAGATGGTCACCCCTGCCGTGGACTGGAAGGACATTTGGATCCCGCTGGCCAGGGGCGCCTGGTTGGACACCATCACGGTCAGCATGAATGCTCTGTTCAGCTCGTAGTCGACAGCCTGCAATGGAGGAGACCAGGGGCTGAGCTGGGCAGGTGCCCGTGGGGCTGGACGGAGGGGGTACACACTAGTCCAAGGTCAAAGCCAATAATGACTGCAGTTGACCAAAACACACTGAATGTATCAAAATCCACACATTCTTAACGATAGTGAGAAAATGAAATACACACAATTTTGTTTATCACTGTGGTTAGCTGATTAATGTCCTCCAAAGATGTCCAGTCCTAATCCCTGGAACCTGTGAGTTGTGTCCTTCCATGGGAAAAGGGGCTTTGCAGGCGTGATGAAGTTAAGGACCCAGAGGTGGGAGGTGACCCCGGATGCTTCAGGTGGGCCCTAAATGCAGTCACAAGAGTCTTTGTAGGAGGGAGACAGAGGGACATGTGACGCAGCAGAAGGCCGTGTCAGGACTGGTGGCTCTGGCTGTGAAAGGGCAGGAAAGGGCCACCACCGAGGACGCAGCAGCACCTGGAGCCCCTCAGCCTCCGGGGCCGGGGTGAGTGTGTGGGGGGGCACGGCCTCGCCGACACCGTGGCTTCAGCCCAGCGGGACTGGTTCTGGAGTCTGACTCCCAGAAGTGTGAGAGCAGGCCCGGCTTGACGTGATGTTACAGCAGCCACGGGGTCCCACCTGGTGACCACATGCAGCCGATAGTGCACCAGCTGTCCTCTGAGGATTGGCGATTAGAGGTCAAGAAGAAAGATCTCACGTCGCCTTTTATGCCGGACTCTGTGTTAGTTCTGTGTTCCTGTTTAGTGGCTTAGAACAACACACAGTTATCTTGCAGTTCTGGAGGTCAGAGGCAAAAATCAGTGTCACTGCGCTGAGGTGAAGGTGTGGGCAGGGCTGGTCCTGGAGGCCCCGGCAGGTGTCCCTCGCTTTCCAGCTCCGAGAGGCCCCTGTGCTCCCGGCCTCTCCTCCCTCCGCAGCAGCCCAGTGTCTTCCAGGCCCTCTGTCCCGACCTCTGCTTCTCCGACTGTCACCTCCTGCCTCCCTCCTGCGAGGGCCCTGTGACTCCATTTAGGGCTTACCCAGATAACCAAGGTCATCTCCCATCTCAAGGTCCGTCACTGAGTCACACCTGCGAGGTCCCTGTCACCACGTGAGGTGCCACATTCGCAGGCTCTGGGGCCAGGATGTGGGCATCTTGTGGGGCTGTTGTGACTGCTGCAGCTCCGCATTTCAGAGCAAGTCAGAGGGCCCTTGTTGATGAGGAAAAGCTCCTTTTACAGAAGAATTCCAGCCAAGGAACGACTGTATTTTATAAGCACCATTTTGTACCCCGCC